ATATCATTGGATAGTGAATCAATGTGTGTTCTAATGTTTCCACTCTTTCACCACACCATGCACATATGCTGAGAATATGCAATGTGGCTTCTTAAATACCAAAGGGATGACGTCATCTGCCAATGAGATGCAAGTATTCCTCTGCCAAATAGGCACCATCACCCCTATTCAAAGCATGATTACTTATATTTATATGCCATGCTTCTAGGCATTGTCTCTGACCATAACAATTGTTTATGGTAATTACTTCAGAATTTTCCCACACAATCTTGTGTTTGGTGTCACACACATGTTTTGCTAAAGCTGATTTCCCCTTGTTTACAGTTGAAACAGCCTTTTGATGTTCTTTTAGCTGTGTACCAAACTGGCGTTTGGACCGCATGGTATAGAATACACAACATGAGTTTTCTGATTTGTTTTAACAGCGCAGGTGGAAAGAACATTTCGTTGCTAAATGAAAAGCTTGACAAGCGGAGCCGTATCAAGAGCCTACAGGCTGTACACAAAAAGCTTGAAGATGAAGGTGCCAGAGAGGTCCAGCTATTTGGATCCCCTGATACAATGTCAACAAGGACATTTTCATTGTCCACCGAGAAGGGGAAAGATTTCACAATAGCAGGGGAAAGATTTCACAATAGCATTGCAAAAATAGCTATTGAACAGAGGGGGAGGATATTTTACAAGTGCTGGCAGATATAGCATAACACAGTGATCCTCTTTGTGCAAACCTTATCACTGGCACAGATTTACTTTTTCAACACTTGAGGCAAGTACGTCATTTGAATCAGTGCTATCAGCACCAAAATTGGCAGTCGCTTTTGTGGTCCATTCGAATGCCTAATTGGGTTTATGTCTTACTGAAAGCATGGCAAACCTTGCTAAACTTAACTCAACTTGGTCGTACTGGGGTGAGTTTATTAATAACTATTTTACTATATGTTATTTTCTTTTTTCTAATTGTATGTGTGTGTATATGGCAAATAAATTATTATTAATAACATACTTTATAAAATAGCTTGCATTCATCTCTTTCATGCTGTAACAAGTTTGCACCTAAATGAAACAGGATCGTTCTGTTGTCTGTCAGCTAATCTCACTGAGCATTGTACAAAGAATAATGTTTGTTGTAGATTTAGTAGCCTGTATGCAAACAGTCTTGCCCGCCTGGAACATTTGTGTCTCCTGCAGCAGTATCAATAAGACAATATAGATTTTTAGTTATGTGATATATCCGTACTGTGCTAGATGAGTAATTGCAGATGATATTGTCTAAAATTTTATTGAGAAAACACATATATTCATCATGCAGTGTGCAAAAGAAATAAACTGTATAAAGATGAAATTGATAATATTTTTTATAAAAACTGGTTTGGTTTAAAGTGCCTTTAATGAAGTTGAATATGTTGGAAAAAGACAGATAGTTAATATCGAACAACTGGCAACTAAGCAAGAACAACAATAACTTGAAACACAATTTTGTGGCATATATTAACTGTCTAGAGGCTCTTGCTAACAAATCTGTAGACTGCAGATCCGTCAGGTCATCGATATTGAGACCTAGTTGGACTGGTGAATAACTATTGGTATAGGGCAGATTACCCCGGGCCGCAACTGATAACCTGACCGACCACATCGAGTCTCTAGGTCTGCTCATTCAGGTCTTTAGTGCAACCTGAATGAGCAGTGCTTGTACTTCACATGGTGAATTGTTGTCCATCAGACAGCACACTTTTCTGTCATTAATGACAATCTACACAAGTATAGGTTGTCATTTCTGCCACGGCATGCAGTGTCAACCGGGTCGGAAATTAAGTGAAGAATGGGTGGTTAAAAAATAAAACTGCATGGCATGAAATAACAGGATGGTTTAGTTTTTTTTTTGTTTTTTTTTAAAAATTTGTTTTGTACTTTTTGCATGTCAATATCAGGCAGATTCGTTAAGTGTTTAAACTTTTGTTGTTTTTATTTGAAAGAACTAATTGCAGACTCATTTCAGTTCATTGCCGACACAGGCAGGTCCGGCTATGTCAACACTTGGCAGAAGCTGAGGAGCGTTCGCCTAGGAGCAGTAAATGATGGAGCACTGGAGAAGGGGGAGGGTCTGGAAACAGGGGGTGGGGTAGTAAGCAAACTGTGTAAAACAGTTTTTTGGGTTTCTGATCCCATTAGTTTTGTTAGAACACTACAGGGTGTGTTTTGGTTGGTCAATTGCTGCTGGTTCTCTTGTAGAAAAACTGGCAGAATTCTCAATGTGTTCTGGCACATTTGCATTTAAACAGTGTATCGGGTGTCCCAAAAAAAACTTGCAGTGTTTGATTTTATGTAAAGTAAAAACTATAAAAGCTATTACACTCAAATAAGTTTTATTGTATTGAGGAAAGGATAACTTAGATTTTGATATAAAGCCCTAAAAATTTCATGTAATATCATGTGAGATACAAATGAGAAAAAAAATCGAGAAACATGGCTGATCAAATTTATATGAAAACAAATTGCCATTTTCCACAAAAATTAACAATTTCAATTTCAGCATTTCAACTCAACTTTAATTTCGGGTAATGTCCTAGTATAAGTTAACCTTTTGTGTTTCTTGGGAAGCGAAATAAGCATGAAACATTTAAAAACAGTTCGAAAGCATATTTGACGTCCTTTGAGAGTTAATATTATAAAGTTGGTCCTGGTTTGCCTTTTGAATATGCCTCGATTAACAAAAGATCAAAGAGTTTGGCTTTTATGTTTTCCTGTGCAAGACATTGTATATGTGCAAGGGGACATACTTTCTATGATAAATGAATAAATGTTTATCCAACACATGTTTATCTTCATTTGTTCTTTTGGCCACAATAAAACTATATAATCAAGTTTAATCAAATAATATTTGATTGGCAATATACATTGTCAAATATGCTTATTCGATTTAAAACATCGATAGCTCAGTAAATATTGCACAGATATTGAAATGTTATATATCAAAATCTAAGTTAGCCCTTTCTGAATGCAATAAAACTTATTTGAGTGCAATAGCTTTTATAGTATATTATACATTAAATCAAACAGCGCAAGTTTTTTTTGGGACACCCGGTATATGCTGAAAATATAAAAAAAAATAACAAAAAAAAGCAGGAAACGATCCTCATATGTAATGGGATTTGTGAGCCATTTCAATGATAGCTGTCCATCCCCTTTAGTACTCCACACACACAGATAGAAGAACCTGTCTATGGACGAGAATGACAAGTTCAAAAGGGCTGAGGTTCACTAGATGCTGACACTTTTTCTAAGGCTGGATGATCAGGCAGGCCCATGGGTGTACGGACCTGATTATGGTGGCCCATTAGGCTCATTACAAACTAACCACAACTATTAAGGAAATAACATGTATTATTATATACACAAGGTCTAGATATGAGGTATTCTGCAATCTGATTGGTTCTCTACTAACAGGATATTAGCTCATATCCTGCTACTAGAGAAAAACAAAATGGCGGCCAAACTGAATTTACAAGTTTTAAATCATCATTCATTTCTTTAGCAGAGGGTCTGAATGGGGTTAACTGACTACAAACATTTGCCTGAATTTTTGACTGACAACTGACAAAATAACCTAACTGACAACTGAGAAATGATGAAAAAATGATGGGTCAGCATTTTGCAGTAACTGACTACTGACAGCTTGCAATATATCGCACTGACAACTGGCTTAAATTTTAGCTGACAACTGACACACAAAGACCCCCATTAAGACCCTCTTAGCAATTCATTGTTTTTTTAACAGTCTACGAACCAGGGCCTTTAAGAATTCGTCAGTGGGGGGTGGATCTCCAGACAGGGACCATACTCAGGGGCACACATCGAACAAACTGTTGGGGGGGGGGGGATGATGTGGGACCGATTTTCTTGTTCACTACAACAAACATTTGTGGCATGTGGATTAATCAGGGGTGTAGGAAGCTTCACAAAGTTATGGGGATGGAACAATTCTATGAGGCGCCAACCATGGTTGGTGCTGAGCAAAATTTTGAAGTGAATCTTTCCTATTTCCTACCCAATATTTTAGTATTGCCTAACAATACAATATAGGCAATAAAGATTGCTACTTACAATTTAATGTGACCAGGAAAATTGAAAGTTTTTCATTGGGTATTTGGCCATGCCCCCCTGCCAACATCTTTAGTTTGTTAACAGAGCATAGAGTTCACTTTTTTATGCCCTAAGAATTACCTGAATTAACCTGAAAATCTACTGGAAATCTACTGGAAATCTACCTGAAATCCCCGTCGCTACAGCCCTGGTAAGAAGTGTCTGCTAAAGTGCACTCAATAAAAAGTTTTTAATTTACTTTCCCTAGGGACCAAATCATACACACTCGGGTGACAGTCATGATAAACTGATGGGTTTCATGAATTCAACATTTCCTCTTGCAGTCTATGGGCTGCAAGATGCCTTCAGTGGCTATATCTTATATTTGAAATTATGGTCCAGCAATTCAAATCCTAAGCTCATTGGACGTTGGTATCTGGAACATTTGTACCAAACAAAAAGTAAGAATGCATAACATAGATGTATGTATTCATATTCATTATTAATTGTACTCACGTGTAAATAAAAATTATTTATAACTATAACTAGAAAAGCCCTGACAGTAGTAGCGAAACCAGCCCGGAAATTTGGTCATGCTATGCAAATTTTAAATCACATTATTCATTTCTTTAGAAATTGATTGTTTTTATTGCATAGCATGACCAACTTGTCGGGCTGGCTTTGCCACTGCCTGGCGGCTTGTTAAGGTCCATTTACACAGTGCGATTCTCGTATACGATAGTTGTATACAACTTGCTTACATCATTTCTACGATACATTTACATGATAAGATCTGAATACGATTTGTTGTATATGATTGTTGTGGCCGCGCGCATTTCACACAAACAAACATACTGGCCCGAGAAGGAAATATCACAATTGACGGCATCTGTCGCAATAAAAAAGTAAACAAAGCAAAGATGGATGCCAGAAAGCTGTTAGCTTCCTATATTAGCTTAGCGATTTTAAGGCGAAGGAACAAAAAAGAGAAACGAAAACGAGCCATTTGGACAAGGTCTTGGCTGAAACGTTCAAACCGCGGTGTTTATCGGCAATTATTAGAAGAATTGCGGCTTGAAGATCCCGAGAACTATTGTCGATACTTGCAAATGGACACATCGACATTTGAGGTATTTTGCAAAATGTTATGTTAAACAAACTTACAAACATACATATATATAGTGGTTACATTGTTACAGTTTGTTCCTAAATATTTACAACAGAAATACCATCTTTGGTATATATTAAAAGTACATATTTAAATTAAATAAAATCAAATTATACAAAACTTAGCTTAATGAATATTAATTATCCTGTTTCTAACTCTGAAATGACCGCAAAACGTCTTAATAGTATCTTCCCGTTAAACTCGTATTTGATTTTTTGAATGGCCATATAAATATATGATAGCACATAATTATATTAAACTTTGAAACTTTATTGAAGGATTTTATTGAAGGATAATATACAGATTTACTGGTAAACCAGTATTTTACATTCATATTAGATAATATATATATATATATGCTTGTATATATAATTATATTTGGAAAATTTTTTTGGTTTGTTGGAAAAATACTGCCCTTGCCTCCCCCCAAAAATCATATTGAATTGACAAGAATCATATTGACTCACTGACGCCATTGATATGACGACAACAGCTGCCGAAGGACTGAGGAATTGTTTTTTTCTTAATACAAATAAAATACAAATAAAATACAAATGGCTTCTTTTTGTTTTTGAATTTTTAAAATAAATAATAAAACAATTATTGAATTCGGTTTTCACACAACATGAAGAGTTATCAAGCCCTCAATTTGCCTTTATCACTTCGGGCTTGATAATTCTTCATATCCTCTAGCTACCAATATATTATATTTTGATAAAATATTATGATTTTTTGTATGGTGATAATTTGTCTGTATTCAACTGTTTATTATATCTTTTGATAGTCATTGTTGAAGAAAGTGGAGTGTCAATTGCAGAAGAAAGATACAATTATGAGAGAGGCAATACCTGCAGGACAGAGGCTAGCGTTAACATTGAGATTCTTGGCTACTGGAGAGTCATATGCCGGTTTGCCTTATCAATTCCATGTCTCTGTGCTTTCCATATGTTGCATAGTACCAGAAGTATGTGACGTTATACAGGGTGTATCAAAAAAAGCGCAATCCTCGACTGAAATGTAAATTGCTAAACGAATAATAGACGAAAACGTTAAAGTTTACATTCATTTTAAAGCGTAGCCATTCAGCTTTCTAACAGTGGGTTGTTTCTTAAATTTGACTCATTGGTTCGCGGGTAATAATACTTTACGTTATTGCGATTGGAGATTAAAAAAATTGAGATGGAATAACAAATCGTTCTCATGAAAATAACTGATTTTTTCATTAAAACAAAAAAATGTCGCATTTTATTAAATGGATTGTAACAATAAGTATAATTACGGCTTTTCTTCCACTATTTTTAACTCAGTTTGAAACTTCAAATGCGATATAATTTTGGCTTGGACCATCTAAGCTGACTGACATCAACTTGCTATAATTTCTGTTTACATTACATCGCAATTCGACGACACTCTGGCACAGATACCAGAAATGTTTTGACGATTTTTAGCATTCGTTTAGGATTTTCAAACAACCTGGTCTCTTTTAAAATACTTTTAATTTGTTCTTACGTGCATGGTTTACCAGATGTAGTGACGACAACATTAAAGTTTAAAGAAGAAAATTCTAACATTTAAACCGACTAAACAATAACATAGTAAACTTGCATAATTAAACAGCAACTAAAAATGATAGGCTTTACTAAATCTTTTCCTGTGCAATTATTACTAGCATTGGAGACAAGGATAATAGTTTGTTTGAAAGAGAAAAGAACAGGCTTTGAAGTAAGCCTAAAAGCGTTTAACTAGAAATAGTATTTCGAAAGTTATTAAGCACAAAAGATGAATTGCGTTTATTTTGATACACCCTGTATATAATACATTGAAGAGTGAATATTTGAAATTCCCTGAGAGGTGAAGAGGACTGGATGAAGATAGCAACAGGATTCGAGGAAAAATGGCAACTTCCGCATTGCGTTGGTGCTGCAGATGGGAAACATATCAGAATTATACACCCGCCTAAAAGTGGTTCTGAATTCTATAATTACAAAGGTTTCTTCAGCATTGTTCTAATGGCAGTTGTTGATACAGATTACAACTTCATTTTTGCTGATGTTGGTTGCCAGGGCAGAATTAGCAATGGAGGCGTGATGAAAAACACCATTTTCTGGAAAACGTTGGTCAACAATGCACTTCACTTACCAGAACCTAAGCCACTTCCTTTGTCGCTCTCTCAGTATCTTGTTGATGATGAGAGAATTCCAGTTCCATACTTCCTTGCTGGTGATGATGCATTTTCGCTTGAGCCAAATGTTATGAAGCCCTTTGCCCAAAGAGCTCTCACAGATGAAAAAAGAATCTTCAACTATAGGCTTTCAAGGGGCAGGTGTGTCAGTGAGAATGTTTTTGGCATTCTCACCAATAGGTTTCGAGTCTTTTCTACACTTTTTTCAATCAAACCAGATAATGTTACAAAAGTTGTCCTTGCAACTTTGGCCCTCCACAATTTCCTTGGATCTACCAATTCCAGTAGGTACATTCCTTCAGGTTCTGTTGATAGTGAAGACCAACATGGAGAAGTTAGGCATGGCAGCTGGAGAAATGAAGAACTTGTCTCAAGTGGAATGGTGTCCATTTCCAACAGCAGAAAGAGGAGGCAATCTGTCAAAGCTGAAGATATTCGACAAGCATTGTGTGAATATTTTAACAATGAAGGCCATGTGCCTTGGCAGTGGAATGTCTTGGTATAATTTAATATTAGTTAAAACAAAATATACAGTCACATAATTTGATATTGGAACATGATTCATTATAAAATTCAAATAACTTTGCCTTTCATTATATAACATTTTATAATATTTACAAATTCCCATTTAAGGCACAAATCAGATAAATATCAGTCTGTCAGTGCAAAATGGAAGTAGCTGAAAACTGTTTGTGAACTTTGTGGCTTTAAATATTAAAAAGTATGTATTGGTATTTTAAACTGTAAAACGTGATAAACGTCTCATTATACAGACAAAAAGTGGTCAATATGTCTAAAAATGGAACTATAAACTTACCTATAAAACTATAAATTGAAAAGATGTTGAATTTCGGATTATAACCAGAGTATAAAATTCAGAACATATTTATAGTTCCATTTATTTGAAACACGTGCCGTGACCACTATGACGTGTATGTTGAGATACAGTAATAGACCACTTCCGAGTGCCTCGACCTGATGTTAATCCAGAGCGTAATTCGGCAGTGGCCTATATATTTGTGGATAACACATACAAATTACAAGATTAAAGCCATTAAACTAATGTAGTGTTATTTTAATCAAAATCAAATGCTGAAACTGTAACTCTTGAATGTGAATCATCGTGCATAGCCAGAACAATTAATTGTTGAATTTTAATTTTGATGTTTTCTTTCCCATAGCCTTCAGGTACCTTGGAAAGTTGCCGACCCACGTAACTACCGAACAATTCATCGACTGATTGACGCGGCGTGGGGGTTTTCTGCTGCAGCTCTTTCAAACAACACTGTAGAACTTTGATCGTCTTCAACGCTAATCTCTTTTGCATTTCTTTTACGTTTTGCTTGAGACGGTGGGGTAGATAAAGCCATAGGGGCAGTGTCCAGCTGTTGCACAAGGTCAATGCCAAAGGTCGTTTCTGAATTTTCTGCCTCGAACCATATAACATCGAGATTACAATCCTCATCCGGTGGGACGGGGGACGTGCTTGATGATCGTATTGAAATGGTCGAAATGGTTTTTCTTGCCGTAATATTATCACGCAAGAAATGAAGGGAATTGAAATCATTTGTACCAAACATCATTTGTACCTTTGCCACTGGTTCTACTGGCCTTTTCTTTGCTAATTCATTTTTTTTGACAAGTCGGTTGCGGTTAATCCTTTAATAAAAGTGAAGTAATTGTTTATTATGCGTTTTTCATCATTGACATTGTGTATAATTTGCATAAATTACACAATAAATCAAAGTACTGAACCGGCGCCAGCTGTCTGGGACTAGTACTAGTGTTTTCACTGTTTTGGTTTTTGTGCAGTTGTATTTTCATATTTTTCACGGAAAGAAAACAGGGATTTATAATCCAATTATTAAACACTGGCATTTTTCTGAAAAACACGGGAATTTCAAGCTGTAATGTTGTATAGCTGTGAAAATTGTGGCAGGTAGATATTTTATAAATCATGTTCAGTTTTACTAGTATATAAATATTTTCCTTGACCTTTTTTACAGTTTCTAGTCTTGTTAATATTTATACATTGTCTGAAAAACGTGGGAATTGTTTGCAAAATTTTCATTTTCAGTGTGATTTTAATACTTATAACACTATAAAGCACTAGTTTTTTTTGTCTTGTGACAATCGCCTCCATAAACTAAATCGATAATTGTATATAAATTTCATAATAAACTTTTGTGCTAACAAACCTGGAAATTTCAATTCTTCAATCATGCGATTTAACGTCTTTGTTGAAATAAAAAGGATTTTTGCTGTCAAACAGCACATCTCGTTTTCCCCATTCACTTATCAGCATTTCTACCTCCTCGTCTGAGAAAACAAAAGCGGTCTTTTTATTTTTGTTGCTGTTTTTGCTGTTGTTCGCTCTTTCGACTTCCGCCATTTTTAACAAAAAAATCGTAGGAAAGTTGTAGGATTTTAAAACAAGATTTAAAATTCCTACAACTTTTTCGTATTGTATGCAACAATCATAAGCAAGTTGTGGGGCCGTTTACACGATACGATTCGTGTCATATACGATGTGTATACGCCATTTTTTCTATACCGGAGCAATTGTTCCGGTATAGTGAAAGGACGTGCCTGACCTGATATGTTGGAGTGGGCTTCGCCAAGTGCGCCCTGAACCAAAGCTGTTGCGTGGGCAGAAGATGGAGACTCTACCGTAGGATGCGTCGAAGACGATGCGGAGAAATCCCTGGAAGAGCAGTCGAAGGGGACGGTAGGAGCGCTGAAAGCTGTTGTGTAACTGCGGCCGTTACCGACGAAACCAATGTTGTGACCAGATCATCCGGCAGCGGCGATGGGATCGCTGTTGGTGCAGGCGTTGGCACGACAGGCGCTGCGGAGGTTGGATGTCCAAGAACACTGATTGGCCCACTAGCCTCACCACGAGTAGCCCGTGAACGTAAACCGCGGCAAGGTGCAGCTGCTTGATGCTGTTAGTTTGCCCGAGAAGCAGTTGGAGTTGAAGCAACCCGTTTTGGTCGGCGGATAGAAGGCATTGTAGAAAACAAAACTTGAAAAGGCAGTATTATCCTCAGCAAACGTTATCAATATTGCAAAGAGTGTACTGCACATAACGTTTTGATATTAAAAGGATAAAAACGCACACGCGCGAAAACGCATATATAGGTTACAAACAGATATAAACTCATAAATCTACGAGAATGAAGTATTCCCTTATAATAACGTCGGCAGTATGAGCATGGCAGATCGTAACTGATCGCCGCACCACTCATACATTATCACCAACAAAAAAGTTACAGGTTGAATGCGAAAATACACAAACCACAGTAGTGGTAAAAACCTAAGAAACCCTGGCGTAAGATAAAATACGCTGGGGAAAACAATCCTGTAACATCGTCTAATCTTATAAAGAAACCTAGTATAACCCTAGTATAATGTAACCTATTACAACTGCCAAGGAGAAATTCACACGTAAAGAAAATTCTTCATAATTATATACATTATGTATGATAGTCAAAACTACAACATGCGGAGAGATTTAAGAATGGAGCCCCTATAACTTCTATACAAGGCGTATTGACCGATTTTGTTAAAATGAACCCCATCTCGAAGAAACGGTGTTACTGATGGCCGCGCAAAACCCCGATGTACCCAAGTAAAAACGTTCGGCATATGTTCTAACACAACGTTTAAATATTGATTGACAATAACTCGTTTTCGTTAAAAACTGGATTACGATTGCGCGGAGTTAACAAGCAAACACACACAACTTTGACGTGATACGTTTGCCGTAACAGAGAAACCAATTCCTCAATTTCAGAACCCACCACCTCGGGTGGCAAAAGGGGCAAATCATTTTTGCCAATCTCCAGGATGACGATATCTGGGGATAGGTGTGCTACTACCCCAAGATCATGATTCCGCACTTTTCTGACTGTGCGACCACCAATACCATGCATGTAAACTTGAGCTGTCCTGTTAAGTTAAAATGTTGGGGACATTCGTGCGTCGTGCTGAACATGCAGATCCGACCTAAGTCAACATACAAATGAATGACCCAAAACTAAAACTTTGGGGGGCACCATGTATAGAATATAAAGTAGATAACTTAGATAATTAATAGTATAGGAAGTGGTCTTACCTAGTACACTTGGTCAACTTTGAATGATGTCTTTCTCAGCAGTTGTAGTCGATACTGACGATTGGCAGTGTAGATGTCCATTATATAAGGTTTGCACCACTCCTCTCACCCACATTGCATGACAATATGCATGCTCTATTTTAGATATGGCGGCGCCAAGCTTATAGTATTAGTAAAATTTTGGGACCGGTTTCACTTCATTGAACACTCCTTTGAGATAACGACAAATTAGAAAATGTTTGCCGATTGGCACATGATGTGAATCCATGTCAGAGGTGAAGTACAGATTTGAAATAGCAGAACGCGCCGTATTAAGTGAGAAATAACTCGTACCTTTGTTGTACAACAAATGCAAAAACATCAATACACACTTTATAGTGGGATGCAAGGGATCATACAACCCCTGAACACAAAACTGCAACCATTTGTTGATATAGTTACCATACTGTTTATGAGTACTGTCTCTCCAGGAATGCATGATTGTGTTGATAATGTCTGTTGGAATATCTGACTCGCACAAGGATCTCTGGATAACTTGCATACCATAAACTTCAGTTGATCCTGAAGTGGATGAGGAATGTCCAATGTGGGATGAACCAGGTTCTGGTGAGTTACTTTGAGAATCTGTGGAACATTGACTAACAGACTGAGAACTACCGTGGTTGGGTAGGCCATAGCGGAAGCACAAGAATTCCGGTTGCCCTGTCTTGTATGATCTTTTGCACACATCTAGATAGAAGACAAAATGGGGGAAATGCATAAAAATAAAGCCATGACCATGTGATTGAAAAAGGCGTCTATGAATTTAGCCTTTGGATCTGGTTTCCAAGAAACATAATCTTGGAGTTGGGCATTCAACCTACTAGCAAAAAGATCTATGTCTGGTTGGCCAAACAATGAGACAATTCTTTGGAAAGTAGGTAAAGCTAACATCCATTCCAAATTTAAATTTAAATTTTGGGACAATTGGTCAGCATCAACATTGGCAGATCCGGCAATATGCGCGGCTGACAACCAAATTCCCTTGGCAATGGCCCAACTCCAAATTGTTTGAGCAATAGTATTACACTCTACAGATCTACATCCACCCATTTCATTAATGTATGTGACAGCAGTTGTGTTATCACACATAATCCGCACATGTATGCTACTTCTATCACACAACAAAGAAAAAAGGGCTAATTGAATGGCCAATAATTCCAAACAATTTATATTTTTTTCAGTTTCATCAGGTGACCAAATGCCACATGTTGTACCCCCATTCTCAAGCTTGGCTCCCCATCCTGTTCCAGATGCATCAGTGTAAATTGTGATATCTGGAGTGGTATGATAGATTTTTCTAGTGGACAACTGAATGTTATTTACCCACCAGTGAATCTCCTCTAAACTGCCAGCAGAGAAAGACATTTCTGCATCAAAATTACCTTGATGCATTCGTAAATAACAATCTTTGTCTGCCTCAATATGACGATAATGAAGAGGGCCAAACTCAACTCCAGGAAAAGATGAAACTAGAGAACCAACAATGTGAGCAATGTGTTTGGGCGCAAAAAAACTTCTGACACAATCGGATAAGTTTTGCCTTCTTAGCAGGTGTAAGAGTAACGGTCATAGTTACAGAATTCAAAAGAAACCCAAGGAATTCTATACATTGAGGGTAAAGTAACTGATTTATCAGGGTGGACTTTAAAACCCAAATTAATAATCAACTTGACTGCATTAAGCGTAGCCTGGAGACATTCTGTGTGAGACCCCTCTGTATAAAAGGAGTCATCAATATAGCCAAAACATGTGTGTCCAAACTGAGATCTAAGTGTGGCAAAAACTGGCTTCATGACCTTTGTAAAAACTCTAGGACTACTTGACAAACCCATTGGCAAACAAGTGAAACAATACAATTTATCCTGCCATATAAATTTTAAATATTTTTGATGCTCCAATGCTATAGGAATAGAATAATAAGCATCTTTAAGATCAATGGAGGTCATGAAGCAACCAGGTCTCATAAGTCTGATAGCAGTATCTAAAGTATCCATTTTAAAATGGTGATATGAGACAAATTGATCGAGTGCCTTTAAATTGAAAATTACTCTACTAGTTCCATCTTTTTTGGGTGTAATAAATATAGGTGACAACACTTCAGCAGATTCAGGAACGGAATGCCTAATTATTCCTTTTTGGAGAAACTTTTCAATTTCCCCATCTATGACAGTTTGCTCAGTTTCATTAAAAGTAAAATATGGTCGAGTATTACTAACATTTGACTCTGGTAAGGAATCAAATTCAAGATGACAATGAGTCACAGCATCCAAAATAAATGGATCTGATGTAATTTCTGTCCAAGCATGTACACAATCTTTCAAACCACCTGCCTTAAATGGTGGCTGATTAGCAATTAACGTAGCGATAGCATCATTACTTACCTCGGTTGGTGATTCTAATTTCCTTTGTTGACTGATGTCTTGGTGCTTGTCGGGGTCCGCCTGTGACCCCGGCCTACCCCTAAAAAAGAGGAGTATGACTTTGATCCGCGACCTCAACTGCTAGTCTGATTAAAATAACCTTGTCCACATGCACCTCTGCCAAAGGGCATCCTGTAAGGTTCTGCATGGTAATCCGAACGAGGCTTGGTGGTAACTTTGTTGCCAAGCTTATTGGATTTAGTAAGCTCCTCCACTTCTTTGTTCAACTCATCACCAAAGAGATAAGTTGAAATGGCCGTTGATGGGTTGCACAACGCACCATACTGCTTGTTAAGATCAGGACGAATCAAGTCCCTGCGTTTCATGTTGAACTCTCGATTTGCTGTCGACAATAAAACAGCTGCATGGGCAAGCTTAGATTTTTTATCCCCATCAGAAACATTACACACCTCTAAGACAGCACAAAGGCCTGAAATCAACAGACCCTGTGTCTTTTGAAGAGCAGAATCAGTATTCCTAGTTTCCTGCCTCATTTGCTGCTAAATTTGTTTGTTAACCTTAGGTGCAACTAAATTAGGACAATTCTCTGGTCTGATATACTGTGATTGGACCTCAGACAATTTTCCTTTGGTCAGTCTATCTCTGAGCAGGCTATTAACAATTTCAGCCAACCCAGGAATAAGAGCTGGTAAAGTTTTTTCTACCAAAGAAAACTCCACTGCCAAATTATGGAATGAGCCAGTATCAGTTGGATCTTCCTGGTCAGGAATGTTGGGCTGAACAAAATGTTCAATTTTATCCGTAATGCCAGGCTCTGATGCCTCACCAGTGGAGGCAACTTCCTCATTCTCA